ATGAGAGGCTTATAAAAATTATAAACAAGTCGGCATCCCACTTTTGAGGATACACAGAAGAATAACTTCTAAATATCATCAATCATTTCAGTAATAACAATTTATGCAAAGATATGGAACATTGAAAATACAAACAAATTAGCTATCAAAACATGTCCAACATGGAAAGGAGCGCAAGTCGAGATAGCCCAAGTACATATAAAAAGAGTCAATCGGTTGTTTTGGAATAATTTTTTATTTTCTTCTAAAAGCATATGTTAATGAGAAAATAAAATAAGTTACTTATTTTTTATATTTAAAAACTAATTAAAATGTTTTAAAAAATATTCAAAGTAACGTAGGATTTTTTTTTTTCAAAATAGTTTTTTTTTTCCAATCCTAATAGCACTTCTGACTCTACATCCCAATGGCACTTTTGACTCGCACTCACGAAGGAACTTCGGACTCATAAGCTTGGTGGGCACCTTCAAGTTCCAACTTCCGATCCAAGCAACACTTCTAACTCTTGATCTTTATTATGGTATTGATTATCAATTCCGGCAAAAGAATTTTGATTCTCAATGCAGACAATAGTTCTGATGGGTGCGGGAAAGAAAATTTCGTAGTGAGCCCAGCAATAGAGCAAGTATGAATCATCGCCTGATGTGGAAGCAATTAAAAGATCTAGATGCTATAAAACATACTAGAAAGATCTAGGAAGATCCAGTGCACAAGTTTTCTTCCAACCAAAATTTTTAAGGGAAGCGATATCAGGAGTTGTAAAAAGAGTAGACGTTAGAATAATATATGCCACAACCACCACAACATGCAATGCTTTGGTTGACATCCAAATTGAAAGCATATGTGTTTGACAACACGCACAACAAAAGTCAACTTTAGATTTAGAATAAGATTGACATGTGATGACGGAGCTTTGGATCTGAAAGCGGAGCATATAGGGAGGATGAACCTGACAAAATATCACTGCTGTTGTGATAGCCTACAATATCTGTCGGAGAAGAGGGATGTTCATAAGCAGATAATGACTCTGAAGCGGAAGCAATTAATTAACTAAGGCTATCTCAAAATTATGCCCAAAATTAGGAGCAGTTGGAGCAAGAAGTGTGATTCATCATTCATGCCGACACCCAAGACAATGACGTCAGGGATAGAACTCAAATGGGGATTGGTGAACGTAGAGAGGTTTTCTCAATGACGTGGTAGTTCTCACATTTAAGTGCATATTATTAGTATGTTTTTTTAATAATTATGTATAAGCATATATTAAAAAAAATTTACTTCATATTAGAACATAATTTAAAAATAAAACAAAAGATAAAAGTGATTCCAAGTGGACCCTAACTAAACTAAAACTGTCAGGCTAGGTTAATTGATAATGTCATGATAAAAATATCATTAAGTTCTTCTAAACCCATAAAATAAAGATAATTTAAAATTTTCATAAGCAAGACCATGGATCTTAGGCTTCGTTTGGGATGGCTTTTTTATTGCTTTCTAAAACGGAGTTTTAGTATAATTTTTTTTTATTTTTGTATTAAAACTCCATTTTAGAAAGCGGTAAAAAAGCCGTCCCAAACGAAGCCTTAATTGTAAATAGCATGGTGCAATTTATAAAATTAAGACAAATAAACTAGAAAATAACATAGAGATTGTTGCAATAAACAAGAACTTTGACTGTATAACTCCTTAAAAGGAAAAACACGACCAATGAAGAAAAAAAAGACCAAAATATCCCTCAACTTTTTGTGAGGGACTAAAATAGTCTCCAACTCTTTCGAGGGACCAATTTGATCCCTCGTCTCCTTAAAAAGGGATATTTTTAATCCTAACATCAATTTTTTTGGGTTAATGATGTTAAAACATGAGGTATTTTGATCATTTTTAACTAAATTATTTATTAAATATAATTTTCAAGTTATACTATTTTTAAAAATTTATATATTAAACATTTTTTCATAAAACAATTATTAATAATTCAAGTCTATAATGATCCTAAATTAAAATTAGAATTACTAATAATTTTTAAATTAAAAATTAGAATTATTACTAAATTTGTTTCTTAAAGAAATGTTTAATAAAAATTTAAACAAAAATTACTACTACTTAAAATTTATATTTAATAAATAATTTAATTAAAAAATAACTAGAATACCCCTTGATTTTATACCGTTAATCCCAAAATTTGAAGTTAGGATAAAAAACTAATTTTTAAATAGTTGAGGTACCAAATTGGTCACTCAAAAGAGTTGGAGATCATTTTGGTCCCTCACAAAGAGTTGAGGGACCATTTTTTAACCTTTTCTCTAAAACGACAAGCATGAAGCTCAAAACCATAAAATCATTAGGAATATGTTAGACCGGTTCAGTCGGTCCAACGGAACCTGCTTACGTGAACAGAGGCGGAAATGTCCACCTCCTATACGTGTCGAGCGCACTCCCAGGCGTGCGTAAGCCATTTAGGCAGGATTTTTGAAGGAATTAGGAGGGAAATTGAATGCAGGGACTGTTTAGGGATTTCCTTTTGATTTGTACGCATTACATAGTTTGTTTTCCTAGGGAAATGGCATCTTGAATTTGGCTGAAAGTTGAGATCTCTTAGATTTAGATTGTTTTTTTTTTGCTCTAGCAGCATCTAGAGATTTGGGAGAGATCAATCCTCCTCCCGAATAAAGGATCAATTGTATCATGCTATTTTTTGTCTCCCTTTCATCAAATAATACAAATTATCTACTATTTTGTGGTTTTGTGCGGATTTTTGTGGAGAATGCTCGTTGTTTTCCGAAGATTGATAGGAAATACTTAGAGATTTACAAGTGTTTCCTATCAAATTTGTATCATAGCTATTTTAGGGACCTTTCGTGGGCTGTTTTGGTGAATTTCAGCGGCTGTTCTTAGGCTTTTGAAGAAAAACGTTGATGTTTTTGAAGGTCGAAGTCTAAATTTTTATTTCTACGAAAATTCAGGCATCAATGGCGGCCAAGAAAATGGATGTGTTGGAGGAATATCTCGAAGTGGAGATTGGACAAATGAAATCTGAAATTTCATATCTCCAAACTCAAAGTTTCAGATTTAAAAAATGATGTTTCAGCCATCCATGATAAATTCAATTCGAAATTTTTCATCCTGAAGGAGATGTTGAAGAAAGTGCTGAAGGGCCAAACCAAAATATCGTCGTCGGAGGTAAGGGAAGGCGATGACAGCCACAGAAGTGGAGAAAATCCGAAGCATATCAGATGAAAGGAAGATCAAGAGGTGGAGATTTTGAACGGTACAGAAAAAAGGCCTCCCCTAGGGAGGAGTCCGACAGAGGGTATGTGGGGAGGCGTGAGGGGGTTGAACATGAGTGGAAGGGTGCTGAATTTGAAAGGGAAAGATAGAATTTTGACCAAAGGAGGGTTGAATTGGAAAGAGGAGCTTTTGATGATCCAAGGGGTGCTGAATTTGAAAGAAGGTGGGAATTTGATGAAACGCTTAGGTATGAACGTAGAAGGAATGATTGAGACAATTGGGGGGAACCACCCCCTTAGGGAATGGGAAATTATTGAGGGAACAGAAGGAACGGAGGCAATCCGAGAGTGAGAAAATTGAATATGACAATCTTTGAGGGGGAGGATGCGCACGGGTAGATCTACAGGGTTGAAAGATATTTCGTTGTCAATGGGTTGACGGAGGAGGAGAGACTGACAGCAACATGCCTATGTTTGGAAGGGAAAGCTTTGGCTTGATACCAATGGAGGGATATGCGAAGACTCATATGGAGTTGGAGGGAGTTCAAGGATTGTTTAATAGAACATTTTCGAACCGGCAGGGAAGGAGACTTCTACGAGCAATTTTTTGCCTTGTCTCGGGATGGTTCAATGATAGAGTACCAGGAGAGGTTCGAGTACCTTGTTAGCCCTGATTGGACCGCCTTTCTGAGACAGTGCTAGAGGGGAACTTCATGAAGGGATTGACACCAGAGATCCGGGCAACGGTTAGAGTAATGAAGCCTCGTGACTTGGGAGAGGCTATGGAGCTAGCTCAATTAGTAGAGGATCAGAGGCACTTATAGAGATAAGAGGCAGCAGCTCAGAAGGCTCATACAAGATGACCACCACCTTATTGAAATCAAAGGAGCCAACACCGGATACTCTTCGGGGGACTTTGAATGAAAAGACTGTAAAAGGAAGACTTGGGGACAACTTCAAGAAGCTCACAGAGACGAAATTACAGAAGAGGGCGAAAGGGTTCTATTTCAGATGTGACGAGAAGTATACGTCGGGGCACCGATGTAAGGACCGAACTCTTCAGGTTCTTACCGTTTGTGATGAAGAAGGAATGGAGGGTGTCGTCTTTCCACCTTGCAAACAAGGATAGATCTTTGGGAGGATAGTATTGTTAAACCGGTCCATTAACCGGTCCAACAAGACTGGCTTATGTGAACAGAGGCGGAAATGTCCATCTCATGTACACGTCGAACGCATACTCGGGCATGCGTGAGCCGTTTAGGAAGGATTTTTTAAGGAGTTAGAAGGGGAATTTGAATGAGAGACTATTTAGGGATTTCCTTTTGATTTGTATGCATTAAATAGTTTGTTTTCCTAGAGATAGGGCATCTTGAATTTGGCTGAAATTTGAGATATCTTAGATTTAGGCTTTTTTTGGGCTCTAGTGGCGTCTAGAGATTTGGGAGAGATCGATCCTCCTCTCGAATAGAGGATCAATTGTATCTTGCTATTTTCCATTTCCCTTTCATCAAATAATACATATTATTTACTGTTTTCGTGGTTTTGTGTGGATTTTTGTGGAGAATTCTTGTTGTTTTCCAAAGATTGATAGGAAATATTTGAGATCTACAAGTGTTTCCTATCAGAATACCATGACATCACCAAAATGAAAAATATAATTGGCATCACTATAACTAATGGATCCCATACACAAGTTTTTCAAGCATTTAAATTTGAAAAGTTTGAGACATTATTTCAACATTGAGAAAGAAAATGAAACAATAAATAAGTTACCTTTACAAGACTAGAGGGACCATGTGAAACAAGTTCTTCAAGGGATTCCACCTTGTCTAAAGGTAAAGAGCTATAAAGTTCATCAACATCACTAAACTCATCAGGATCCTCCTATTAGTTAAGGAAAAAAAATGAAAGCTCATGTTAGTAGAAGAAAAGCTTCAATTAAGATATATCAAAAATCAAATGACTTGCTAACAAGCATACCTGATTACGCTCCACATAGTCTTCTATAAAATCTCTAACATCATTTACCTGCTCAGGACTTAGCTCATCATTATCGAGTAGCCTCAAAATTAACTCCAACTTCATTATATGAGCCTTATGCCTAGCAATGGATGTCTCCAAATGTGCCTAAAAATTAAAGTAGCACTAAAAAATTAAACTATATGATATTTCAAAAAAATTACAAACAGTAACAATTGATGCCCATGATTAGAGATAGAACTTGTACCAGCCGAGGAGGCCTAGCCTTTCCCTTCTTAACAGACAGTCCCTCTATCTCAGCTTCAAAGTTATCAATTTGACTCTCCAAATCCCCAACCTATAATTTAGAAAATAAATTACCATACAGGAAAAACAAGAAATTGAATAATTTGTTAGATTAAATGTAAAATAAATCATGAAAAAAAAAGAACATGAATCTACATGTTTTGACCTAAAATGATGTGAAACCACTGATAAGAAGGCCATATAGAGATATTCAATTTTGCAATTAAGATTATCAAGAAATGCTCAGCATCAATTGTAATAGGTCTACAATTGATTGATATTTTATAAAAAGTAGGATCTTTATCATCATTAACCACATTCCAATTACTAGGAGTCAACTTTATGAATCATCCTCCATTTATTCATGTTGAGTACTATATTAGATGTTAACTTAATTTAGTCATGCTACATTTGCTCTATTCCTTCCTAATTCTTTTGCATTAATTCTATCTACTTACGTTAGTGATGCATCTCTCATCCTACCATGCAGATGCCAAAAACTACCTAATCTATTTCTCACTGCATATCTTCAATATCTGTTAGTCCATCCATCCATATAATATAATCATTAGAGTAGACGATAATGTTGCAAAACAGCAACGTCAATATCCCTAGCCATGAATCATGTCATCCCGTTTGTCAATTTTGTCTGTATTTTTGTATTCGTCATATAATTATTCCATCTTTAATTGACATTTTGTTATTTGTTGTCAAATTAAATTATCCAAAAATTTATGGATACAGTTAAAAATAGTAGGACTAGGGTTGTTATTGAAGATGGTTGATAATGAAATAAAGTTATGGTCGCTCTTTGGCATTTTTGTTGGGTATCACCTTTTCTCCCTTTCTCCTAACAATGTGGTTCTTTCTTTCTCTTTAAACTATAGCCTGATGCGGACATCCGACGGTGGACGACATTCAAAGGAATAGTCGAAGATCGACGGCCAAGATCACTCTGTTTTATTTTAGTTTATTAATTGTATTTTGATTTAATTTTACAATTTTCCCTTTTTACTTTTTTATTTAAGAGTCTTATCTTATGTAAGCTCAAGGGGCAAATGTATCTTTTAATTTCTTTTGAGGCCTATATATAGATGCCCCTTCTCTTGTATTAGGCATGATGGAATTATAATAAAAATTTGTGTTCTGCACTTGTGTTCTTTTGGGAGGACGATAGTGAGATTTCTATGGGAAGGAATCGGAATTTTCACCAGCCGCAGGATGGATCCGAACTCGTGGCTTGAAGTCCCTTGTAGAAGGGCAACGTATCACCCGAAAGTCTTCGAAAGAGCCCAAGGCTCGCAGTTTTGTCTTCTTTTCTTTTTATTATTCTCCTTATTTTCCTAACCGCCACTTCCCCATCTCTCTTTATCATATTGGCCGAAAACTCCACCCAAACCCTAGGCCAAAAGACACCCAACCGCCAATCCAATCCCCTTCCCAAAGCCGCTGGCCATCATCCATCCCTTGGCTCCAAAATTCAAAATCTAGCATTCAAATCATTTCCTAAATTAGCTCCCTTTAATTTTGGAAACTATTTAAATTCATATTCAATTGAATTTGAATTTGAATTTTACTTCCTAAATGAGGAAAACTATTTTAGGGAAGTCCCTCAAATCATGCAATTTTGAATTTTAAATAGGAGTTGATTTAAATCCACTTTCCTAATTTAAGATTCTAAAAATAGTCACATTTAACCCCTCATATCAATCACCCATAATCATACTACCCGCCGGCCCTACCCCCCTTCCTATTTCATCTTTCCCTCCACTTTTCAAATTGATTATTGAAGGCATTCCTTATTCGATGCATCTTATGTTTGGAAAGTTTTTAAATTCAAATTTAAGTTAATTTGAATTTGAAATTCTTTCTTTAAAAAAATAGGATGAATTATATTAGGAGACTTTCCTTAATTCTCCCAATTTAAATTTAATTAACGACCTGTCATAATTACCCTTTCCTTATCTTAATAAATTCAAGTTGGAAATTCCTTAAGTCCACATTCATCGTATGTGGACACATTCATCATATGTGGACACATTCAACGTATGTGGACGCCTTCCCTTTTTTCCTTCTTTTGGCCGACCCCCTCCGTTCTACATCATAGCCACTACCATTAATGAATGGATTTATCACTTCTAAATTTATTATCTCAATTTACCTCCCGAGTTTTTTTCTACATCAATTTCTTCCATTCTAAACAATCAAAATATCACAAGTCTGCATTCACTACTTTCATCGCCTCACTTATATTAATTAGGATCAGATCCTAAGTTCCTGAATCAAGAAGTTATTGATGAAAGAGTTAAGGTGCTTTGATTTGCATATTCGAGAAGAGTGTGGCAGCAACCTCTCTTCATTAGGACTCTTTAAGCAATTAGCTTCTTCAATACACCCTCAATTCTTAAACTTCCAATCAATTATTTTACTCTTAAACAAAACCCCATCCAAAATAAACATAAAACTCAATTCAAAAACCTCAAAACCGACTTCAATGAAAATCAGCTTCTATGATATGTGAATACCCATTCCTCGGTTCCACCATCACACCCATCTTTTGCTCATAATAATGACGCTCCCTACAAGATTCAAGAAGTCTCCATTCATCTAATCCCCCCTCCCTCTAACTTATAAAACTAAACTTTAAAAAAAAAAAAATCTCATTCAATTTAACATTTGAATCTATAACCAATTATACACAAATCTAAACAGCATACCAAAATTTCCTACCTAACCCTTCTTTATATTTAAAACTTCTAGCAACCTAATATCAATATTTTCAACTTCTGCATGATACTAAACAAACTTCCCATCCAAAATTCAAATCTAAAAAAAAACAAATAAAACTTCACTCTACCGTTCTCCGATCCTACCATGAAAAATCACACACTTCCTTCCCCTTACATGCAAAATAAAGTACACTCCTTCGTCCATTGATACTTTCCAAACTAGTGCTTTCCTATTAAGAAAGGAACAACCATAAGACTCACGATATATATATATATATATATAACTGAACTCCAAATAGCCAATTCCAACTAAATGGAGGATGATTCATAAAGTTGACTAATTCCAATTAAATACAGCCAAACCAATTAAATCAAGAAAAACTTATCCAATTTAATTTGCTCATGGGCTTCTTGAAGTTTTGATACAAAAAGAAAAACTTAATAGTAAATTTAATTTGCTAATACTTTGGCGAGAAGCACACACTGAAGACTTCAAGATGTAATGTATCAATTAACTAAATAAAGCCCATGAGCTATGTTAGAACAACATTAACCTAATGTTCGAAAATGTCATGCACCATTATATTAATAATAACCATCCTGAAACAAGTCATCAAGACAACATAATAAAGATTGACACAATGAATCCACCCAAAATGTTTAAATATATCACAAGCATAACATAACATTGCATATCCAGTGCATCCCAATTATCAAAAGTATAAAAGAAAGATTATGACTAATTGTGTAAAAATATTAACAGAAAAATAATAGAAAGTACATTAAAGCAGTCCAATAATATATTATAAGATAAAACTTGGATATGACTCATATGAGTAAATAAAACTTTCCCATATTGTTTCTATCAATGCTTACTACAATATATACTGAACAAAAACTAATAAGGGGGGGGGGGGGGGGGGGGGGGGGGTGTTGCTAAGCATACCACATTGTTCAGCCAATCCCGTGTTTCTGCTTTGGCCTTCTCTCTGGGATCCTATCAAATAATAATAAAAGGTTTATGAGGCAACATCCTTAAATACAGGATGCTGATAGCCAACATGCTCCTTAAAATAGCATTCAACTATTAAAAAAGTCAAACAGTAAGCAGATCAGCGAGAAAAAGAATAATTAGTACATGAACAAAAACTAGAGCATATATCTAAACATTAGAAGGATAGCTAAAGGAAATCATTAGTCAAATTCAAAATTGATACTCTGAAACACATTCGAAGAAGCAAAGGAATGATCTAGAAGAACACAACATTAGACGAGAACCAGCCCATTTACATTTTCAGACTCTTCACAAAGATGTAAATATACAGAGTTTGAAGAAAGGATGAAAAAGATATCAAGGTGAGGAGATCAAAGGGGAACCGGGGTTGACAGTGTTATCAAAAGAGGATATGAAAAATGCAACAAGGATAACAATCATGTTAAACTAGACAGAATGGTTCAAGAAGTTTCAGTATGTTAAGGTAGTTGTTAAAAAAACATGCTAAATACAGTATAGAACTAAATTGACAGTATGGCGCTAAACTGACAGTATAGCCTCAAAATTTAACATGTAAAGGAAGCTGTCTACACAGAATATTCAGCACAGTCAGAACAAAGAAAAGGAATAAAAGAAGAGGATTGCCAATATGGCAGTCATATCATCCTGACCTAACCCATTTACCATTTCACAAGAAACAACTGTTATCAAGTGAAGTTTACAAAAGGAACTAGATCATTTATATCAAATAGTTCAGCATTTCAAATTGGCTGGTAGGAGGCTCGGTGAGTAATGACAGACATAAGCCAGAACACAAAAAAAGATCCAACACCTTTTCTGAGTTGGGATGCTGTTCCGTTGGCCTTAATTTCCTGGTCCCTATTCTTATGCAGCCAAAACAGAGTTCATGGTAGGTGATGATGGGGGACACAACTATGGGACCACTCTGACAACAGAAATACTATCTACTAGGAGTTCAAGTACAACTAACATTTCACTTTATATGAATGGCCAAAGTAACGTATGGCAGACAAAAATGATAATTATTTTACACAAGAAAATGGAACATAAAGCAATATTTGCATCTGTAAAACAATCAAATAGAGAGAGATGTAACTGTGCTTCTCAACTACACAATAAGTGAGGCAATAGCAACTGGCACAAATGTAGCACAGGCCTTACAGTTTTTGGTTGTTGACCTAGACCCTCCTTAGAGAAGGCTTTTGTTTTGGTTTCCTTCTCACAGACCTTAAATCTTTCCATTTCACGCTCAATAAGCTTTCGAGCATCCATCAGAGCCTGCTCATAAGAGGCACTAACCTATGTCAAATATATCCAAAAATTGATTGTCAACCTCAGAATTACATCTTATGCCGCTACAGGAGAATATTATTAACTCTAAATCAGCTAATCAGGTTAAGCAGACAATGAAAAACAACATTGCTGATATAGCAGAATCTATAAACCCAAAAATACAGTAAAACTACTAGATCGTAGCTGTAATTCATGCTTAGAAACCGTAAATTGAAACATTATAAAAATAGAAAACCAAAAGTTGAGCAAGCCTGCAATGACATGTTCTCATGCGCCACAAGCTCTGTTGTTCAGTGATCTAATTGTGAAACGGTAATTTATTAAAAAAACAGAACCATGGAAAAACAAACAATAACTTAAACAAGTGAGAGATTTAAAGAAATGATACTAGCGAACAAGTATTCCAACTCATATTCTTATATTTAACCTCTATGATTTTACAGAAAGGAGAAGAGATTTCAAATAAAATAGATCAGAACATAGTAAAATATCAAAGGAATTACTTCATAATCACAAGAATTAGTAAGTGAAAATGTGTGTGCATAGGAGTGCCTAATCCTTGCATTGCATGTAATCACAAAAATTAATCAACTAATTAATTGAAATTTAATGTTTTTTTGTTCAATTATCAATTGAAGCAAATTCATATTAGAGATCACTGCACATGCTATGATCAAAATAAAACTATTAAAAAGTACAAAATATGTTTTATCAGGTATTTAGCATGAAAGTTAAAGATTTAATACTCACACTAGCATATGCTTCAAATTAAACATCTAGGTTCCAAGTTCAGTCATAAATTTAAATGAACTTTTTAAGAAAGAGTTTGAAGTATTGAATCATGAAGTTTTGGAGACTTGTTGAACTTTTATTGTGATTTGGAACTTATGCTTCAAATTAAACATCTAGGTTTGAAGTTCAGTCAAAAATTTACATGAATTTAAAATTTAAGAAAGAATTTAAAGTATTGAAACAGGTTTCATGACTTGTTGAACTATTCTTGTAATCTGGAACTTTAGTATTAATTAGCAGTTGTAATTTGGAACTTTGGCTGTGGTTAGTAGTTGACCAAATTTTGTTGGTTGATTATCATCAAGTGGCCAACCATATCAAAGCCATAAGCAAGTGAAATGCATGGATATGACCCAACATGTATGAACATGGCCTATAGCTAATTTTTTTCCATGCAAGACATGTTCAACACTGGTTTCCCGATGCAACACACATCCAATGAGATAAGAAATCACATGTATGAAGACCTCTAACAACAGAACCCACCTCATCAACAGTTCAAGATGCCACTCCATCTCAACTCCTCCATTACTTAGAACTGTTGGCTTCAATCCCCTTCTCCAATGAATTCCGATGCAATGATTTAAATAATCATAAATGGTTATAAGAAGGATATTTTGCTCATTAAATTTAAAGAAGTTTTTTTCTTCTATCTTTGAAGAAGCTTAATGGCCAAAACATTGGTTGGACGTGTGGTAGTGAAGACCACCTCAATCCTTTGGTGAGGATTGAGTTTTGTTTTCTTTTGTTTTAAATTCTTATAATTTCATTCCATCTAAATCTCTCAAATATTCACAAGCCAGCCATCACACATCACCCCTCTTCAACCTCTCTCTCTCCCTCTAAATCCAAGAATTGCCATTTCCGCTACACCTCCAAACCCAAAGTTGTTAAGCACTTTTGATTTTGGACCCTTCATCAAGCCCTAACCCCTCTTCCAAAACCCAAGGCCAATCCCTGCTCAATCGTCTCCCACAAACCTTAAATGTCCACCTCAAAGTCTCATCCTCCCATAGAAACCCAAAACAACAAATACTAATTTGTTTGTATCTTTCAATTTTATCACCACCATAAGACATAGCCCAACTCCACCACTTCAACCACCCTTCTCTCCTCATACAACCCATCACCAAGCCTCTAGAAAAAGTAGAGACACTTAAGGCAAAAGCCAATTATAACAATTAGCAACAATGAAAGGTGGAAAACTTATTTAGAAACTAGGGTGCGCTTAGGATAAATATGACAAAAATAAAGTATAAGATATGTAATTTTAGTGGGTGTGAATATTAATAATTATCAAATAATATTACTAAAAAATAAAGTAACCCATGAGTGATAATTTAAATATATTAGATCTATCATATCGAAAAATGGGAATATATGAGGATATCAACTCTAAATTTAAAGATATGAGATGAAAATGAAAAAAAAAAAAGCTCAAGAGAGTTATTTGATAAGAGGATATCATGAAAATAAGAAAAGGTGGATTTGTAGAAAACTAGGATAAATAAATTAAGGAACACTTATATTATAAAATAGTTGGTGTGACATCTAACGAAGATAAAGTAATTAAAATATAATTATATCATTTATACATGTACAATGAAAGGTAGAAAATGTAACCATTATACCTATAGATAAAATTAGTTTAAGAGGATTAGAAAGGATTTAGAATAGAGAAAAAGCAGACATGGTAATACAGGTATGAGTTATTTAAAATGAGCTGTGGAGAATAGGTTTAACTCCTCGGGTAATTAAAAAATGAATGGAAAATGAGAATTCATGAAACAGGCCCTAAAAAGTTGGTATAATGTTTATGGTGTTGGAGATCATTTAGCTAGAAAAACCATATAACTGAACCTTGACCTTCGCAAAATCACTTTGCAAGAGAATTTGCATACAACCTTATTTTTATAAATGGCCTGTGATTCCTTTTTGGATTTCAAAAAACTTTGTATTGATTTTAGTAGCTTGTTGGAAATAGCATTATGATAGATCCCTTAAAATTAAAAACACAAGTTTAACCCTCACTACAACAACAACAACAACATCAAGCCTTTATCCCACTACGTGGGGTCGGCTACATGAATCCTTTTTCTCCATTGTGTCCTATTAAAAGTCAAATTCTCGTTTAAATCTAATAAAGAAAGGTCATTCACAATATTTTCTAACCAAGTCTTTTTAGGTCTACCCCTACCTTTCTTAACATAAGTCAAATCTAATACCTCTACTCTCCTAACCGGGTCATCGCAAGGCCGCCATTTTATGTGACCAAACCATATAAGGCGACTTTCTCTAATCTTATCTTCTACTGGAGCTACTCCAACCTTTTCACGTATATGCTCATTTCGTATCCTATCTCTAAGGGTAAAGCCACTCATCCACCTGAGCATCCTCATCTCTGCCACACTTAACTTAGTATTATGCTTCTCTTTTAATGGCCAACATTCGGCACCATAAAGCATTGCAGGCCTCACTACCATCTTATAGAATTTTCCCTTAAGTTTGAGGGGTACATTTCTATCACATAACAAGCCCGATGCATTCCTCCACTTCAATCATCCAACTTGAATTCTGTTGATAATATCCCCATCTATTTCACCATCACTTTGAACAATTGATCCAAGATATCTAAAACGTGTACTCTTATTAATGACTTGATCGCCCAAAGTCACAATCCCTTCAGTAGGTCTATTACTACTAAAATTACACTCCATATATTTCGTTTTAGATCTACTCAAGCGAAAATCTTTAGACTCTAAGGTTAACCTCTATAATTCAAGTTTACCTTCAATTCCCTCTCTAGTCTTATCAACAAGAAGAATATCATCAGCAAAAAGCATACACCAAGGTACATCATCTTGCAAATGTCTAGTGAGAACATCCATGACTAAAGCAAATAGATATGGGCTTAAGGCTGATCCTTGATGTAACCCAACCGAAATAGGGAAATACTTGGTCAAACCACCTTGTGTTTGAACACATGTAATAGCTCCTGCATACATATCTTTAATGATTTGAATATAAGCATTATTGACTCCTTTCTTTTCAAGAACTCTCCATAGCACTTCTCTTGGAACTTTATCATATGCTTTTTCTAAATCAATAAATATCATATGTAGATCCTCCTTATTTTCTCTATATTTCTCCATCAAACCTCTTAATAAATGTATGGCTTCCATAGTCGACCTACCCGGCATGAATCCAAATTGATTTTGAGAAACATTAGTATCACGCCGCAACCTATGCTCCATAACTCGCTCCCATAGTTTTAAAGTATGACACATTAACTTAATACCTCTATAATTCGTGCAATCCTGTGCATCGCCTTTATTCTTAAAAATAGGAATTAACATACTCATTCTCCACTCATCTGGCATCTTTTTAGTCTTCAAAATAGTATTAAAAAGTTTAGTAAGCCATGAAATTCCTTCATCTCCTAAGCATTTCCACACCTCTATTGGGATATCATCAGGTCCAACAGCTTTTCCACCCTTCATTTTCTTTAAAGCCTCTCTAACTTCAGTTTTACTAATACGCCGATAAAAATAGAAATCTTTATTTTCATTTAGGGTGCTAAGGTCACTATAGTCAATCTTATTTTCACAATCTTCATTAAAAAGTTTAGCAAAATATCTCATCCATCTTTGTTGAATATCATCTTCTAAGAAAAGTATTTTTTGATCTTCATCTTTAATACACTTCACTTGAACTAAATCCTTACTACTCCTATCTCTTTGTTTGGCTAACTTATACATATATCTTTCTCCCTCCTTAGTATTTAATCTATTATATAAATCGCTAAAAGCTAATGTCTTTGCATCGCATATGGCTTTCTTAGCATCCTTACGAGCAACTTTATATATTTCCCAATTATCGGAATTTTTAAAATTAAACCAATTTTTATAACAAATCTTCTTATTTTTAATCTTTTCTTGCACAATTGGATTCCACCACCAACTATTTTTACTATTAGGAGCTTTTCCCTTTGATACTCCAAGGACATCTTTTGCAATATTCTTAATATCAGTAGCCACTTTTTCCCACATAATATTAGCATCCTCATGCACAGACAAAATCTTAAGATCTAAAATCTTATTTCCAAAAATATTTTTGTTAATATTCTTTAAATGCCCCCATTTAATCCTAGAAAATTGTTTTACTTTATTTTTTATTTTATGCCCCTTTATCTTAAAGTCCAAAACTAATAATCG